AAAAAGAAAAAAGCCGGAAGTGGCGCTGTGGCTCAAGTGGTAGAGCGCTAGCCTTGAGCTGAAGAGCTGAGGGACAGCGCCCAGGCCCAGAGTTCAACGCCCAGGATGGGCATTTACAATGTCTGCGGTGTTCTGACCCAGCTTGAGCTTGGCCAGGCCAGCTAGGGGCAAGGACCTGGCTCTCCTGCAGACCCTCCTCCACCTCTCACTGGAGGGGCAGCCTGTTCGCCTCCCTCACCCAGTTTTCCCCTTAGCACAGTCTGCAGTTCCCTTCACAGAGACCCCTTCCTCCCCAACAGACTGGTGATGTGATGGGGGGGGACTGGAAGGACACAGGAGTGGTAGGGACTGAGGTTCCTCTCTAGGCCTGACCCCCGCAGCCGTGGTGAGGCCCTTCCTCCCCACACCATACCTGCCCCCCATCTGCACAGACAAGATCGATCAGGAGAAGAAGGAGCAGAAGGAGATCAGCTGCCACATGAAGGACCTGGACAATGACCTGAAGAATCTCAACGTGCTCATCAACAAGAAGCGTGGCAGCTCCGAGGATCTGCAGCAGAGCAACTTCGTGGCGGAGAACGAGTTTGTGCGCACGCTAAAGGTGGGCCCGCCTCCCCTCCCCACCCCCACCCCCGTCCCGGCTGGGGCCACAGCTCCACATCCAGTTTTTGGAGATTAACTGGAGAGTCTCACAGACTAATCTTGACCCCTTGAGGAGGTGGGGTTGCAGGTGTGAGCCACCAGCTACATGTCCTTGATTTGGTCATCCACCTGAGAATATAGCTACCACCTGCCTTTGAAGCACTTTTGGAAGACTCAGAACATTGGCACACAGCCCAGCCATCTCCATGAGGGTCGGGGGGGGGTCCACAACCCCAGTGTCCAAGCCCTAAGCCCTTCTCAGTGTCCCTACTCACCCTGCAGATGGAGGAGAGAGAGACGATCCGAATGCAAGAGAAACTAGACAAGCTCCTGGAGGAGAAGGAAGCGCTCCTCAACAGCCTGGTGGAGGCCGAGTGAGTGTCAGGCTCAGCTGCACGCACACACTGAGCGTGCTGCACACGTGCACGGCCGGCCACCACATCGGGGCCCGGGAGAGTGGCTCCGGGGCCCACCCTTGCGGGTGCCCAGAGACCCAGCCCTCCAGCCAGTCCACACAAAACCCAGAGGCGTTCTGTGCGGGTGCCCAGAGACCCAGCCCTCCAGCCAGTCCACACAAAACCCAGAGGCGTTCTGTGGGATAAATGTGTGTATGCACACATGCAAGCTATCGCCCTGGGGCTTGAACTTCAGGCCCCGGGCACTTTTCTTGAGCTTTTGTGTTCCTGACTTGCCTACCTGGGCTGGCTTCAAGCCGTGATCCTCAGATCTCAGCCTCCTGAGTAGCAAGGATGACAGGCATGAGCCACTGGTGCCCAGCTACGATACTTTTTTTTTTTGTTGCCAGTCCTGGGGCTTGAATTCAGGGTCTGGGCACTGTCCCTGAGCTGCTTTTGTCAAGGCGATAGCATTCTACCAACTTGAGACACAGCACCAATTCCAGCTTTTTCTGGGTATGTGGTACCGAGGAATGGAACCCAGGGCTTCCTGCATGCAAGGCAAGCACTCGACCACTGAGCCACAGTTCCCAGCCTGTAGGATACGTTTGTAATATATATTTTATTTTATAGTGTCTGATGATGCAAGTCACAGGCACCCGCAGCCCTCAGCCTGCTCACCTCAGAAACATGCAAAGGGGAGAGGACAAGCATGTGGGACGCCAGCCCTCCTCCCGCACTGGAAACCCGCACAGTAGATTCTCCCTGGGTTAGATGCTAGTAAGACTGTTCCTCAGTGCCCCACATCCCCACCTCCAGCTGGAATGGCTGCTGTACACGCACGGCTGGGGGGCTGGGAGGGGTTGTGTGTGTGTGTGTGTGTGTGTGTGTGTGTGCATGATCACCGTGGCAGCATCTTTGCAGAACACCAACTGGTCAAAACTTGTGGGGTCAAAGTTCATGGGGCCTGTGTCCCTGGTGACTGACCTGTTAGTAGCATTTGACCACAGGGTTATTTGGGCTTTTTTACTTCTGCTTAAGTCAACTTTTATCACTCCTGTGGTTCTAGGTTGACAGTCATGCCCTTGGTTCTGTCCTCCTCCTTTGTCCTCTCTCCCCTTCCTCCCTCCTTGCAGGCCCGAGGTCTGTTGTTTCTAGGGTTGGCAAATCTTTGCTCTTAAGAAGCCAGAGCTGGGCCTGTGGTGCCTGCAGGGCAGGCTCTGACGCTGCCTCTCCTCCTCCTAAAGACACCAGATCATGCTTTGGGAGAAAAAAATCCAACTGGCAAAAGAGATGCGTTTTGTGGTGGATTCTGAGGCTGGCCAGACAGAGATCCGGGCCATGAAGGCTGAGATACAGAGGATGAAGGTGAGCAGCCCGGTGTGGTGCGCAGCAGGGGCAGAAGGCGGGGGGCCGAGAGACCCTGGGTGAGGGGGCAGAGCGAGGGGCATGGGCGCCAGGCCTGAGCATGGGCTGGGACCTCCCCATGGGCACGGACGTTCCATGGACAGATAGGCGGGCCCAGCTCCCTAACCCTTCCCTGTCCTTCCTTCTCACCTCTGGGTCCACACTTGGCCTGTGACCTTGGCCTGTGACCTCCAGAAAGGTTCTCGGTCCTTGGAAGAAACCAGGCCCCGCCCAGCACTGGCTGCTCAGGAGTCACTGCATTCCTGGCTCTGGTCCTCACTGTACAAAAGTCACTGCACAGCACCACTAGGTTACGTCACCAACAACATTACAGAGCACCAAAGGACTAACAACGACACCCCACATCATCACAGAACACCACTGCACTCACACCACCACCCACACCATCACACACCACTACTGCACTCACACCACCACCTACACCATCACAGAACACCACTGCACTCACACCACCACACAACACCACTGCACTCACACCATCACACAACACCACTGCACTCACACCA